ATGAAGGGAGGAAACTTTAAATTTTCTGTAAAAAAAATTTCGATGAATCTATCAAAATGCAGATGGGGTTCGACTGCAGATCAATGAAGTTCAGATAAACAGCATCCCTTACGTGATATTCCAAAAAGGCTAGTAGGGAGTCTTCTAGTAGGGAATAGTTAGTTTTCTTTATGCATCAAGCGATTTTTGAATAAATGGACGAATTGACTGTGACCACACGGTATAAAGTGTAGCTAAATTCGCAGATTTTGCAGCTCTATGACAGATTTTTGTTCTTTAATCTCAAATATGTACAAAGTACGTGCTCTTGTCCCTCGGAACCTGTGGATCAAAATTTACAGAAATTTCGAATTACAGTTCGTTTATGCACATACACCAATGTCCAATGGTACTTTCGATGATCGTATCCAAGTGTCAAAAAATTCGCTTCTCAACAGAAAGTTTATCGAAAAGAAAACAAAGTGAAAACAAAGTGAACTAGACATGTCTCTACCCATATATTAATTGGTTCAACGACAGCGAGATACAAGTTGTCCCTCAGCGCTTGAGCGAATATACAAACCAACTGAAAGATTTCCTTCAAGAAATCACCTGTCTTCGGTCTAAGGAATAAAGCTACATGAGTAAGTCGTCGATTGATATGATGATCTGGTGCCTGCCATTTATGAATGCAATGAGAAGAGGTTGTGTATAATGAAGTGCAATGTTGGCTTTAGAATGGTGAAGGAGGTGCTTCGTCCATGGATTGGCAGAGTTCTTCCGCACACCTTGTGACCGCTCTATTCTTTTCTACTACTAATGCGGTAATAGGGTTGTAGTAAGAGGTAAGGTGTGAACGTGAGGTTCTTCGTGGCCGTGGTCGCTAGAAAATTGAACGCTGAGCGATATCAAGGCAAGTCATGCTTGCAAATACTTACCCAAAAGCTATTTGTATACCGGCAACTACTGCAAATCCGATAAAAATTGCTAGTAGCTGCTTGAGACTATTTTGTCCATTGTCTTTCTCTTGAGCCAATACCTAAACAAAACCGTGCACTACAATGTGAATGATGGCGAAATTGCAGCACTCTACCTCAAGAAAGGTGACGTAAATGAATGTGCCCGCTGCGAGCGATTCCAGGATTAGGACAGCTCCATTCTTGTGGAGCTGGTTGATATTGGACATCTAAAACTAGGACCATTATCTTTCGATCTCAGAAAGCATTACTCGTAAAAGCATTTGAATATTTGGCAGGATAGGGGAAAAAAGCAACAAAAAGCCCTGAAAAGTAGGCA